GCCTGCGCCCTGCCTCCGCCTCACTCCCCCACCCTTCCCTCGTCCTGAAATTTCTATGCTATGTCCAAAAGTTTTATATGACCACTTGGTTATCAATCTGTACGCGCTTTTATATTGTCTAATAGGTGCGCAGCTGGCAGTACTAACTCGTCCCCCCGCCTGGCCCCGCCTCCGCGCAGCCCGCGGCAACTCGCCCGCCTGCGCCCTGCCTACGCCTCACTTCCCCACCCTCCCCCTGGCCTTGAAATTTCTGTCCTATGTCGATAACATTTATATGACCAATCAATTATCAATCTGTACACGCTTTGGTATTGTCTAATAGGTGCGCCGCTGACATTACCCCTTCCCCCTCCTGACCCCGCCTCCGCGCACCTACCGGCAACTACCCCCGTTAACCCCCCCCCACACCCCCCCTTAAATGTCAATTCGGCTGGCACTACAGAAAGTTTTTTTGCCATATCAGCACTGCTGCCCATGCCCCTGAAGAGAAGGGATAGAGTAGGCAGCAGCGTGAATGAACGGATGGAACGTAAGGTTGACGACGTGCCACGTGGACGCTAAGAGTGTGTAGGTGGCCGCCGCCATGCTGAAGTATTTGTGACTGCCAGGTGGATAGCCGTAGGTACGGTCTTCCGCGGAATATAACCGAACGGTCATTATCGTTGTACTTAGACCGAATGTTGCCTCAAATATGCCATAGTGACCGGATGTTCTGTTCGGGGAAAGATAGGTGATGGTAGGCACCACAAGTGAATGGTTCGGGGCACATTTGGTCTTTTAGCGTCCAGGTGTTCTATGCGTGGACTATAGCCGCGGCAAGGGAGGAATAGGTTCGTTTTGTGTGTGTGTGTGTGTGTGTGTGTGTGTGAGAGAGAGAGAGAGAGAGACGGTGGGGATATCCGGGAAGTCTTGGGGAACGGAGCGATGTGTAAGAGAGAGAGAGAGAGAGAGAGAGAGAGAGAGAGAGAGAGAGAGAGAGAGAGAGAGAGAGAGAGAGAGGCTGCAGGGAGCTTTTCGGTGATAAGCGCCGCCTTCCCCTAACTAGGTACGTGGTCTTGTACTTCTTTTCCTTTCTGTAAATTTTCGTCGTCTTGTTGATTTTTGCGCGCTTTGGGAATCGCGGGATTTACCTATTTGTTCTGTTTTATTGTATCATTATTTCTCTCCTTCCTCGTCGGTTATTGTTCCGGACCCCTTGATGAGCTCCTCGCGTTTCGTACGAATGAGAGGAGAGCAGCTCAAATTACTGTATTATTAACACCATGTACCCCCGAATGCAACGCACCCTCGTTTCACTCTATATATCGGCTCGGAAAGATATTTGTAGACATTCATTAGGAGGGTGCGTTATGTTCGGGGAAAGACGGTAGTAAATACATCGTTTCTGGAAACACAGTGAGTGTTCGGGGAAAGGCGGTAGTAAATACATCGTTGTTGAAAACACTGTGAATGAACACAGCATGTATACGAGATGTTGGTTATGAGGTCAAGGGTGCGTTGCATTAGGGGGTAGTACTCCGAACTTGGAATCCATCGGATATAGTAGTAATATATTATTATGAATTTATGATTAGCATTATTACTGTATTGTATTTTTTATTTTAAAGAGTGATATTATTAATGATTAGCATTATTACTGTATTGTATTTTATTTTAATTGTAGAGAGTGATATTATTAATGGCTGTCCCCTTTGGGTGCGTTGCATCAGGGGGTAGTACTTCGGACTTGGAATCCATCGGATATAGTAGTAAAATATTATTATGAATCCATGGTTAGCATTAATACCTAGGCTACCAGCCGGGCCGCCCGGGTCCCAGGTGGCCAGCCCGTGCAAGGACCAATGAAGGTCCCAGCAAAAAAAAAAAAAAATTCCAAAACATCCGAAAAAAAAAACTATGTTATGAAGAGAAATGAACTGAACAACTTTTGCCTCAGGGTCACATCGAAATTCTTCACCAAATTTAGAATAAAAAATAATTAATTTTTTTTTTTTTTTTTAAATTGTTAATTTTTAATTTGTTTTGGCCCGGCCGGGCAAGTGACCCCGGGCCACTCTGGTAGCCTAGATTATTACTGTATTGTATTTTATTTTAAAGAGTGATAATATTAATGGCTGTCCCCTTCGTATCTGCTTTTTTCCAAATTTTGGTTTCGACTTTGTTCGTTCGTAGCAGGCCTCAGGAGCTTTTTTTTTTTTTTTTTAAATTTCCTCTGGAGCCTCGGTCTCTGTTATGTCAGTAGCAGCCCGTTTCGCATGTCGGTCTTTTTTTATTGTTTTTAGGTCGTTGTTGGATTTCTTCAACGAAGCGCAAAAAAATGTGTCAGTCGGAGGATTTTTTTTTTTTTGGGTTTCTCTTTGTAGGAAGAAGAATTAAGGCGCAGGCTACATTTCCGTAAAGGGAAAGGTAAAAATCGTCTGCATTTCCTTTTAGAGAAAGGTAATTCAATAGCGGGTTCTCGCTGAGGGTGGAGGAAAGACATAGCTGCACTAGGACTACGTAATCATTAATTTCTGTTTGACCGTGTTTTTGTTATTTTTGTTTTTTTTGGGGCGGATAACTCCGACCGTTGATTTGTTGAGTAGCTCCAGATTTCCTTTTGTTTTCCTTTTTGTCCGTTTTTTAATCCTTCACGATTTTTTTCGTGTTTCTTCATGTTTTTCTTGTTTCACGATTTTTTTCGTGTTTCTTCATGTTTTTCTTGTTTATGAGGAGGGGGGGGGGGTTGTTGAGAGAAGTCAGCCTCCGATAGTTGGACAGTTCGTGAACTCATCGATAACCTGGTGCTCGTCTTGGACTAGGTTCAATCAGGTTTGGAAACAGGACTGTACCAGGTTTGACCTCGCCCCAGGTTTAGCCCCAGGTTTAAACTCGTGTTCGAACCCAGGGTTGTACCCAGGGTTAAATCCAGTTGCTGAACTGGTTGCGAAATCGAAGTATAACTCTGTGCACGTTTTAGACCGTTTCAACCAGGTTTGGAAACAGGTTAGCTCTGTTTTGGACCAGGTTTGTTCTGTCCCCAGGTTTAGACCCATGTCTGAACCCTGTTTTAGACCCAGGTTTGCAACCCGGTCTGGACCCGGTCTGGACCCGGTTTGGAGTCGATTTAGACCCATGTTTGAACCCTGTTTTAGACCCAGGTTTGCACCCCGGTCTGGACCCTGTTTGGACCCCGTTTTGGACCCCGTTTTGGACCCCGTTTTGGACCCCGTTTTGGACCCCGTTTTGGACCCCGTTTTGAACCTTGTTTTAGACCCAGGTTTGCACCCGTCTGGACCGGTTTTGGACCCCGGTTTTGGACCCGGTTTAGAAGCCCGGTTTGGAGTCCGGTTTGGTTGGAGTCCGCGGTTTGGTTGGAGTCCGCGGTTTGGTTGGAGTCCGGTTTGGTTGGAGCCCGGTTTGGACCCGGTTATGGCCGGTTTGGTCTGTTTCTATTTGGCAGAACTGATGATGAGTAAAGGTGCTGTATTTCGTCTGAGCGTGAAAGAAAGACCTGCATTAACGGTTTTGGATTGGAATTAAAGAAAAAATCAGAAAAAGAATAACGACCGTTTTTTTTTACTGTGACTAGGTTGTTTTCACATTGCGCTTCCCCCAATTTACAGCATAGCCCTGCGCTACCAACCGGGTCCCCTTGATTGGCCTGGCCGGGCAAGGGGCAGAGAAGGTCCGCGCAAAAGAAAACAAAAAGCTAAAACTATACTAGGCAGAAAAATGAACTCGGAACTTTTGCCTCAGGGTCGTATCAAAATTTTTACACTCGGAAATTAACAAAAAAAATCAAAAAAATGAACAAAAAAATTAACAGGAACATTTCTATTTCGATTTTTATTTTGTCCCGGCCGGGCAATATGTCTGGGGCGTCTCTGTTAGCCTAGTTATAGCCTTTATAAATGTATAATATAATAAATGTATAAAATAAGGTTACGTGACTTAGATCATTGCACCATCTTTCTATTCTGTTTATTTGACGGAAAAAAAACCAGCTTAGTGACCTAGTCTAAATTTTCAATTATTTAGAGAAAAAAAAAATAGGTCCGTAGGCTAATTCTTGGCGGAAAAGAACACAAAAGCCTCACTTCGTTCATCATTCTAGTCGAAGTATGATTAAAATAATGAGACAAATGCGACGAATTAATTAAAAGTAAGAATAAGAATATATCGGTTGGTGTGACTTGGTGCAGAAACGTGAGCTCCGGTTCATTAGTTTTTTTTCTTCCCCCCCTCCTCCGTTGTCTACCGACTTCTCCCGAATAGAACGTACGGTCATTGTCTCTGTATCTAGACTGAATATTGCCGCGAATACAGCCATAATAACCGTATGTTCTATTCGGCGGAAGATGGCAGGTATCAACGGGTTCTTGGTGTGAGAAGTTGAGAACCTCTGCCATCTCTCTAATCTATGGCTATCTGTTTTTCAATATGAAAAAGTGTATTTTTTGGAAACGAAAAGAAAAACAGAAACCGGAAAATTGACAATCATTTCTTATGGTTTGTGTACTTCGTTCGGCTTTACTGAATTGTCAAAACAAAGTTTTGCGTTGAGCGGAGAATATTTCGAGCGGAAAAAAAAAGCATTTCGATTAAAATAAGTATATTTCTACATTATCCGGAATTAATAACAAGTCTTACATTATTCGAAGAAAATTCTTATTTGGGCACTGGGCCGGTAATAAAGTTCCTTTTTGGATTTTTTTTTTTACCGTGTCGAACTTGTATAAGCTTTCTTTGTAGAGAAGAATGTTTTGATATCCTGGCTGGTCTCGTCCCGTCGTTCGGCCTGTGAGTTGGGGCGGTGCTTGCATGTGGGACGTGTCATCTGGGATTTGTTTTGTTGCCCCCTGTTCTGTATTATTTGGCTGTTCCCTTCCTCTTTTCTTTGCCTCTTTGCCTTCTGGCTGTGTGCAAGTGGGTCGATATGACACACGGAGGTGGGGGCAGCCGCCGCTCGACCTACATCCACGTGGGCGGCCTTGTACGCAAGAGGTTCTGAACAGGGGGAGTTGTAAGGAAGAAGATATAAAAAAACGAATTCATTCTTTTTTTTTTTTTTTGCTTTTGCGCTCTCATATTCATGTGATGATATATGAGTAAGCTTCAGTGTAATGTATCGTCAAACAGAACTGCCCAGTAAACCGTAGGCAGAGAGGGAGCAAACGAGGGGCTGTGACAAACTGTTTCGTCGGAGTTGCACCGACTCGTCATAGGCTGAACCTTCGACAGTCTGCAGAATCCCGGATAACGGATAAGTGCGTAACGGTCTCCAATGCATGAATAGTAGTTAGATATAATGGATAAGTGCGTAACTTCCGTAAGGTGAAATGAAGTACTTTGCACTAATCCCAGCGCAAGAGGGTAAGCAGAAAGAACGAGGGCAGACACAGCTAGCAAATGAAAGCACAGAGAAAGAGGGAAACCGCAGAAGACGTGTCGTCCTCTGTGTTTTCCCTCTTTCTCTGTGTTTCCATTGCTACCGTCTTCACCCGAATAGAATGCCCGGTCATTTTAGCCGTATTTAGTGCTATTTTCAGTCTTCAATCACTGAGGTTGCCAAAAGGATTTGACAACCGTATGCTCTTATTTCACTGGGTGAAAACTTGTCTACCAAATGGAACTCGTAGGGCCCCATTCCACTACACAACTCTCCATGCGTTTGAGCGCTCTCTGGACCGGGTGCATTCGGACGAGTCCAACATCCCGAAGGTATGGGTGCCGGAGACCGTCCAAATGCGTGTAGAGTGTTGTGTGACCTGTCAACCTTTTTACTTGTTTCAGGTATTAGTTCAGGATATTGATTTTATGTATTGTCTCATGAATGGACCTTGAAATAGTACTTGAAACAAGGTATTGTTTTATGAATAGACCTTGAAACAATACCTGAAACAAGTAAAAAGGTGGATAGGTCACACAACACTCTACATGCATTTGGACGCTCTCCGGAACCCAATGCTAATGTTCCAAGTCCAATTCCAATAACAAGTGGACCTCTCCATGGCTACGCCGTGGAGAGGCCCAGCGGGGCGAAAGACGCCATCAGCAAGTGTTGCTGTGCACCACGGCGTAGCCATGGAGAGGTCCACTTGTTATTGGAATTGGACTTGGAACATTAGCATTGGGTTCCGGAGAGCGTCCAAATGCATGTAGAGTGTTTTTTGACCTATCCACCTTTTTACTTGTTTCAGGTATTGTTTCAAGGTCTATTCATGAAACAATACCTTGTTTCAAGTATTATTTGAAGGTCCATTCATGAGACAATACATAAAATCAATATCTTGATGGCGTCTTTCGCCCCGCTGGGCCTCCTGCGCGCCATTCGTCGCCCTCTCCTCTCCCTCGGCCTCTACCCTGCGCCCCCCCGCCTCGGTTTTGTGTCCCAAGCGGTTTCCCTTGGGCCCGCGACCGAGCATGTCGCCAGACCCTTTGCTTGCTTTAGTATGTATAGAGAAAATATGATAAATTGCATTGCAATTGATTGTTTTTAGGTATTTCTACGTGAATAGACCTTAATGTTTTGACGTGGAACAGACTACCGTATTCTGCCGAACCCAATGCAATTTATCATATTTTTTATTGGACATTAGTTTGTATACATTCGTAATAATGGTATGTTATGTCCGATGGAATGGTCCAGGGTTAATTTGGGCTGTATAGTCTACATGTAGGCCTATTAGTTTGAAGACAGGCTGCAGTTTCGACCGGGAACAGACAGACTGTGGTATGGACCAGGTACATAGACTGCAGGACTTTGTTGGAAGAAGAGACTATGCATCAGCTGGTTTTGTTTTCATAGTTCGGGAATAGGCCGTTTGGGTTTGGAAACACAGTGTGGTTTATCCTAGGAATAGACTGTTGTTTAATCTTGGGAGAGGTTAAATTGGTTGATTGTATTAGTCCAATTCAGTCCGGTTCAGGAATTTGCTGTTTCTGTTACGTATCACCTCGTTGAGGGGTTTCCCCACGAAGTTTTCAAAAAAAAAAAAAAAAAACCGATGTTGAGGTTAGCAATCAACAGACTGTGATTCGAACGAGGCATTAACAGAATGTGTGATTTATGGTAAAATTTGTTTCGTTAAACAACCCCGGTAATATCCCGTGTTTGGTATTAGACCAGGAAGAGGCAGACTGTTGTTTAGACTTGGAATAGGCAGATTGGGGAGTTAGACCGGTGATATTCAGACTGTGTCTTAGACCAGTTATATACCAGAACGAACTGCGGTTTAGGCTGCGGTCTTCGCGGGAGTAGAACACCCGGGCTATCGCGACCGGGAACAGACAGACGGTAGCGATAGCTGGGTTGTGGCTGAGAACAGCACCAGACATTCTATGTGGTTTAGTCCAGTAGTAGGTAGAGCTGTAGTAGTTAGACCAGTAATTGGTAGACTGTGGTTTATTTAGACCTGTAGTAGGTAGACTGTGGGTTTGTTTAGACCACCAGTAGTAGGTAGACTGTGCGTTAATTTAGACCAGTAGTAGG